CACAGAGCCCACCCCCCCCCCACAAACAGTCCACGGTTCCAAAAAGGGTTGGGAACCACTGATCTAGACTGCTGACGTTAGGGTTACGTATCAATATTCAGGCTACCCTTTGCTATGTAAAGCTTGGAATCCCTTTTCCTGCTCTCAACGTAGGCATGACACTGAGGAACCGTATCAGGCCATTTCCTGGCATTTTGAATTGTGAACACAGAAACACAATATCCCACATTCATAAATTGGAGGGTTTTTTTTTTTTTGAAGGATGGAACCTGAACTAAGGGATCAGACAGTGTTCAACAGCGAAAGAAAATTTCATATTTCAGCCCTTCTTCTGTCCCCTTCCATTCAACACCACCCTTGACATGAATGATACATGATCACGCTTTGACAGTCTTCTCTCACTTAGACAGAAGCCCCTTTAAGCATCTTACTTCAGGTATCCATAAGGCACAGCTAACATGGACCCATTTTGTCCCACTCCGAGTGGGTTTGAGAGCTCCTCCTCTCTTTGGGCAGAGTAAACACTTCGACTGGACTCCCAGAGCACAGGTTCGGCACAGCCAGTTTCCAGTGGGGACCTTCAAGATTCCATAGCAAGCCTAAGTAAACACAAGGACAAGACATTAAGTCACTGGCATGAGACAAAGAGAGAAAAACATTGTAAAAACAGTGTGTTTTGAGAGGGATCATCCTGTCAATTCTTGCAAAAAGAAAAAAAATAATAAAAACTCAAGGGATAAAATTTTTATATACTGTCAACACTGTCTCTCTTTGAAGCATGTTCATAAAATCTGAGTGCACAGTAGTCTACTGGCAGGGCAATTACTCCAGGCAACTGAGTTACACCACCCTGCAAAGCCTGCCCACCACATAGCCTGCCCATTGAGTATGAAAGGTGTCCATACTGAATGCACCCGGTACAACTGTCTTCATTCACAACACAGCCAGGCTGACAATAGAAATGGCAACTTTACTGGAAGAGCTCAACAACAGGACCAGGTCTTCATGGAGAAAAGGAAGGACAATTTCTCAGTACGGGGCAATTTTCTGAAAAAAAGTTGCATTTTAAAAATCATGAAATGCATGAAGTGGCCAGGTATATCTTTCTTCCCAGTGGAGGTCAGATGAAAATCTCATGAGTGGGGAACTTCTACCATACAAATGCAGCAGTACCCACTGAATTTCTTGCTTGTGATCGTAGGTACTGAAGGTCACAATAATGAACTATGCCTGGAACAGACCATTCCTGTCCTTCTCTCTGTGTGCGCAAAAAAGTATTGCTTGAGCCCATTAAACAAGGAATAATTAATTTATGTAAAGATAACGAGATACAAATGGAAGATAGATTCCTGTGTATTTTGTATCTACACATGAATTCTGGCTGGTGCAATCTGACATACTTGGGTGAAGAAAGGCATGTCCTCAAATTCTTTCTTGCACAGCACTGTTAAACAAACCCAAACCCTGTGTTCCTTTGTATCCAAGAGGCTGTAGCCTGCCAATCATTTATTCTAGAATATAAGAAATAGCAGTCTGCAGCCTCTCCATCACGTACTCCACTATATAAGAAATCCTTTTAATTCACAGTTCTCTTTAGCAGTATGACTCCTGGGGGAAAATGTACTTAAAGTAGGTTACTATGTTACAAGCAAAGGTAGAGAAAGTGACTGAAGAGGGAGGAGGCTGGTCAGCCGGTAAAGAGTTGCTAGACATGCAGTAGGCAAAGAAAGATAGAAGAGTCTCACCGGAGAATAAATTTCACAGAGTCCTGAGAGTCTGTCAGTGCTATAAGGTTTAGCTGTTGGCCTCCGTACACACAGGGCTACCTCTGTGGAATTACTGCACATAGCTTCTATATTCTATTTAAGGTGATTTATATGCCCTTTCTACTAGATCTGAGTCTACTTCGTAATGTTAGCTTTGCACTATCATAGGAATGACATGCAGTGCACAAGACTGTTGCAGAGAAACTGTAAAATAGTACATATGATTGCAATTTGAGGCTACTGATGGAAGGTGTCTGCTGAATGATCCCACCCAATACACGTTTCTCTTGTTTTTAAAGATATTGTGACCCAAATCCCAGCAGCCTGTGGTAGCTCTAGAAGTCTTATCAAATTGGGGGGGGGGGTCCCCTGAAATCTGTGACTAGACATGGGATATTTCTAGGGATACAAATAAGAACATCAGCACCACAAGTGCCTGGGAAAACTGGACCTTCTCCCTGAGCCATCAGGTCCAAGCACCACAGGTGCCTGGGAAAACCGGACCTTCTCCCTGAACCATCAGGTCCGGTCACCACTCAGCGCATGCAGCCGGTGTTATTCTTGTTGTGCCAATCTGGGAAGCAGCCCAGCTGGCAGGTTCCCCCTCCTCCCCAACACAGCCCATCGCTCAACAGCTGAGTGGGGAGACTCGTCATCCGACTTCTTTGTGGAGTGGTCGGCTGCGTGGGGAAGAGGGGACGTGACAGCTGGGCTACTTCCACGACTGATGCAGTGAGAACAACACCTGCCATGTGCACCATGTGCTGAGCAGAGAGTGAACCTGCCAGTTTTTTTTTGGGGGGGGGGAGGGTCCAGTTTTCTCAGGTACCTGTGGTGCTGACATTCCTATTCGTATCCCCAGGGAGACAAATACGAATATCCGATGTCTACTAAAAAGCAATCCACCTCTGATTATACTGAATATGCCAGACTCACCTATACCGTTAATTGATGGCCTGACTTCCCAAGGCCAAAAATTACTCTCTTGCCTTCTACAAGGATGACCTCGAAGCATGACTGGCTGGATCATACAGACTGTTTTGCTACCTATTTTCTCTATTAAATTCAACAAGAGCAACTAACCAAGGATGCTATTTGTATTCATTACTATATTCTGCTCAGACAAGGTCACTGCACATGTACGTTATACCAGAAGGTGTGTGAAAGAAATGTGTACAGGTATAAAGGTTAAAGGTATCAAAAGAATCAGCTATGCATCAGTATAAAATGGCAGAAAATCAAAAGAAAGGGGGAGAACATGACTGCACTCAGTGGTTAAAGTGTCTGGCTGTGGAGGCAGAGGTTGGGGGTTTGATTCCCCTCATCGAGAGGGGCTGGACTCGACGATCCACAGGGTCTCTTCAAGCTCTGCAGTTCTAAGATGACAATCATCATCATCATCATCGCCCATGTTCCTCATACCCAAAGTGTTAACTGTTTTCTGTCATCATATAAACTACTGGTGTATATGTGTTCACCTTGAGGCTAAATTAAGAGCTACCTCTTCCAACAGACTAATGAACAATCATCTGAACATGATCTGTGATGCCTTTTAACATATGAAGACATACCTGCAGTTTTACCTGCAGTCTTAAGAAATGCAAAGGATAGGCAGGAGACTGCAAATAGACCAAGAGACTGGAAGTACACTCTACTCTGTCAGTGTTTCCCCTTTGATATGTCTAAGGCTGCACTGCTGCCTCAATGAACTTGTTGACTGTGAACAAAACACTTTATTGTTGTTGCTACATGTACAATTATTGCAAATAAAGCCATTCAGACTCAGGAATGCCACTGGTAATGCAAAATAGGACACAGCAAGCTACAGCCCTAAAGAATGGAAGACAACCCTGCAACAAGTTTCTGGCTTGGTCGGGCAGCTTATAACCTACAAGGAACAAAGTTTTGGAATGGAAAGGACTCCATTATTCAGAAATGTCACTCACCTGATGCACACAGACATTGCATTTGTCACAGAAAACCATCTCGTTGCCATCTTCTCCTTCTGGCGAGCGGCACACGTCACACACAACATCCTCATCGTACTCAATGCCAAGACCTTCCTCGGTCTCAATGGCAATGTTCATATTCTCATAGCATAGGGTCTCCAGCTCCTCCAGCACTCTTTCCAAGGTGAATTCATCCATTTCTGGCTTTTCTGGAGGGGAAAAACAATGAAACTTGGTTTACTTTAAACGGAATAATTCTCATACTTTTTTGTAGTGGGTTATTTTCTTAATTGAAGTAGAAAGAGATGTATGTAGGTCTCAACATTCTGATAAAGTCAACTCAGAGACAGCCATATTCAACCCCTTTACCATCCTGGCAAAAGAAAAGAAAATAGAAGAGATTCACAAGGACATAAAATAAGCATTCTGTGACATTCACCCTTTGTGGCACCTATGTGTTGTGCCCTCACAAAGGCTCTAGTCGTGTTTTCCTCTCACTGCCACCAGTGGATCACCTCAATCCACAATATAAGTGAAGTTTGTCAAAACACTTGTCTTGTGAATGCAAACAGAACTTATTTATTGAAGTGAAGCCAATCTAATAATTAAATCATTAACAGGTATCTCAATACATACTTTTCTCTTGCCATATAATTACCACCTCCTCTATCTATTTATCTTAACCAGCTTTATCTCTATTAGTATCTGTTCCTTCTCTCTCTGACTAACCAAACTCTGCCTCTCTATCTCTCTGACTCTGACCCTTCTGACTTAACCGACTCAGGCTCCGCCTTTGTATATCTCTTTCGGCTCCACCTCTCAAATACATTGGCATAGAACATGAATAATACATGACTTATTTTGCATAACAAGGGTGAACACTACACATGCCTTGTGCTGTACTGTCATTTAATCAATCATAATGAAGACATAGAAGCACACAGTCCATACCTTCTTGCCCATTTCTCCCAGATATTATATGTCTGTTAGCCTGTCCTGCTTTTCAAGTACCAAAAGCCACTAACTGGAATACTTGTAAACTGTGCCTAAGTCATTATCAATTCACTATCACTAAAGTAATCAAGAAGCATTTTTAACAGACACATTGATGGGGACAACAAGACCTTATTAAAAAAAAATACGCTGGTTCTGAAGGCTCAGGTTTTATGTACAGTATTAGTCAGTAAAGCAAAAGGTTGCAACTACTAAAGTTACAAAGGAGAAAGCAGTAGAGGCCAGCCACATCAGAGCTGATAATACGCCATGAAAGTATCAATGTTTGCAGTTTGTAAAGATGCTGTTGTCTGAATTTTAAACAAGAATTCTTCAGAGCTGATTTTAAAATAATGTGAAAATGATCACTTTTAAGGGCCATTAAATGGAACTGTAAATGAGAACTACTCAGTCTATTCACTGGTTTGCATTCTTTCTGCAACATGGAACATTATAGTTTTGAAAAAAGATATAAAAGTTGCAAGAACAGAAATTTAGCTGAGGGCCTGACCACAGTGGCATATAGATATAAGGATTGCTGATAGAATGATTTGGATCAGAAAAAAATTGAGTCTGTTTTTTGTTTGTACTTAGAACAATTCATCCTTCCCCTTTAAGAGCTCTCCTTTCTGAACTTACCTAGGGCATGCACTCTTTTTGGCATGATTTGGAGCCTAGCAGGCTTAGGAGGCTGGCAGGGAACAGCAGTTCAATAGGCTAGCAAGATTGGGCTCTAAAACAATGTGGTGGCAGCACAGAGCCCTGAAGGTTGGCACTGCCTCCACTACCAGAGATCACCTTAGTAGCAGCAGTAGTGGAGGTGGCAGCGGTGATCAGCTGGGGAACTGACAACAAGCCGCTAGGCTGTCTGATCCTGGCATCGAGCCCCTCCGACCCTGGTGCCACAAGGGGGTTCCCACCTCCGCTGATCAGCTGCTAAGTGGAGGGGAACAGCTGAGGGAGCACAAGTGGCTGAATGAGAGGTGGTCAAGCCCCTCCAACACCACAGCTAATGTCTTGCCCTCATTGATTGGTTGGGAAGCAGAGAGAAAGAGGAAAGAGGCAGCAAGCCTCTTCAACACCGCAGTCGGCTTCCTGTGAGAGTTTAAATAATCTGCACTGAAACTAAGAACCTTTTAAGCATGGGCGCGATCGCCCCCAAATTTCACAGAGCAGACAGGCCCTAACACAGCCTATGTATAAAAGAGGTACATTATAAATAAGGTATTTCATAAGTATTTTTCTTTTTTGTTCCCTTGAAACCTTTTGGTCCTCTTTTTTTATTTTATTTTTTTATTTTTTGTTCCTTAGTCAGCTTAGAAGCCACTCTGGGGCAGGCTGCTTACTTTCTGCATGTCTCATCTTGCATTTTATTCTCATTATACCAGCTTTCTCGGTAATAACAGCTAACAACGTGATCCTGTCAGTGCCTGATCCACAGCAGGACTGACTGCCTTGGTATTACATAAAACAATCAAAGAAACAAAGAAAAACCTTGTTAGTAGAAATTGTTTTCTGCTGCCACATAAGCTACACCTACAATGTTAGTGATTATTATGACTGACTCGTATTCAGCCTTTTTTGTGCAAAAGCATATAATGGCACTTGACTAGTAATGAGTGTTTTTAGGAAGTTGTCCCATGTTGTGATATCCAGCACTCTGGATGCTGATAATAAAGGGGAAAGCACTGTGCATGTATATAAAATAACTAACTACAGATAAATAAATGGCTACCAATTATTTCCCGGAAAAACTGTGAACATTAACATCACATCATATCTTAATTCTCAGCCAGCGTCTCCTTTGCATTTTAAAAAATTCCCCACACTCTTCCAGCATCAAAGAGACTGAACACTCACTCTTCCATGGAAGTTATATGTGGCATCCACTTTCTAGAACAACTGCCTAGGGATCATAGCTCCAGCTTTACCTTCAAAACACTAAAGCAAGCAGGGTGTCTCAGAAGGGTACTTTGAGAAGTGTTGTTATTTATTAACAGTCCTGCTGCTACACATTATATGTGGCTTCAAGCACTGCCATGACATTTTCCCTACTGAAATCTAAATCAATCAATAAATGATGAGTATGCAGAAAACATCTCCCACAATGACCACATTGACAAATTTACCTAGATAAACCTCTAGGGTGATACAGATTCAGCTCATTCATAAACAAGATCATGGAAATGATTCTCAGTGATGGTTCAAAACCTGCACTGTTATGTTTGTGGCACAGAACAATATCAAATTAGTTGCTTGAAACAATGGCAATCTATAGCAATGATATATTACAACCATTGTAAAAATCAATGGTTTAAATTGAGCTGGGCAATAAATATTATTTATTATTATTTATTTAATTTATATGCCACCCACACTACCCAAAGGTCTCTGGGTGGACAAATTTTTGCCCTGAACATTCATTCTCCCAGGCCACACAAGGTTCAGAAATGACTGAAACACTCAAAATCAGGAGGGGTCAAAGTAGGAAGTGACCAACTGCTGACTTCTACTTTCTACTTTTTTGCTTTGTTTGGGGGAATTTTTTGGGCTGGGAGCCCTCTGACACATGGAGAAACTAAAGCTTCTGGATTCCCCCAGTAATGAAAACCTACTTTCTAGCGAAAAAATAAAATAAACTCTTTTTCGGGGGGGGGGGATGCGTTCGAAGGGATCCCAAGCCTGCAGGATTCTAAGCAATAGTTTTGAAAGCCACTTGCAATAAATAGGTCACATTTTGTCCAGCCTGGTTTAAACTCGTCAGTAATTTATCTGCCAATTTAAGTATTTATATTCTTGGATTTGGGGCTTAAGTGTTATCTTCCTGGGGCTAACAGAACATGAAACACAAAGTGCAATTCTCACTACGGAACACTCTTTTAGTATTCTTTTCCCTTTAGTCCCACTGCCTACATTCCTAATGTTTCTGGCTGCTTGATTTGTATTATCACACCCAGACATGGCAGTAGAGCATTTTACACAAATAACACATTTCAGAGAGTCCTCTTTGCACCTGTAATCTAAATCCATGCTTATAATCAGTGCTTCCCTTTGGAAACCAACTCATTCGACTCACATTTCCTTTGGTGCCTCTAATTTGTATTAGTAGCACAGGCTTCCAAGCTGACCTAAAACATTTTGTTGCCTGAGGCAAAGGGGAAGAAGCCCTTCCTCATTCCATTTGTAAAAACTAATGGGACTGGTCAATGCGTGTTGCTTCAAGATTGGCAACAGGACCATGGACCCAAGTAAGCCAATTGAGGGAATACAAAACAGTTCTGCCCAATCCTCCAGCAACGGACTGTTGCTTTCTACCTCCTAGCGGAAGAGGGTCCCCCACTGTTTCCAGGGCCTCAGTGTCCCCAATCATTTTTCTGACTCTTCCACCAGCTTCCTGCTAGAGCTAATTGATTACCAGACCCACTGACATATCCCAGCCCAATTTAAACCACTTCCTAATTAGAACATGCCAACTAATCCCTTCTGGTGCTTGTCGTTCTTAAGAGAGCAAACCATATATGAAGGCAGACTATATCTTAATTCCCAAGGTTGTTTCTACAAAGGCCTCTCCCCCCAAAAAAATGGCTGAAGAAAGAAAAGGGGGAGAAGGAGGGGAAGGTCTCTCTCTTTGTCTTCTTTCACCCCCTTTCTTTTATTTTCCTTTTTTTAAACTCAATACTGAAAGAGGAGGGAAGGTCTGGAGATAAAAATTCCAAAATCGGTTGTCAAGATGCAACTGCAGTGGTGGTGGTGGGGGGGGGAAAGGAACTGAGGCACTCTGTACCAAGGGTGGAGCACACGCATTGGGAGGGAGGTCCTAGCAAACATATGCAGAAGCTCTAGAAGTTTCCAAGAACCTCTGCACAGACACAGTATAACCAATTCGTGTGCATTCTCAGAGACCACAAAGAAGAACATCCCACAATCTCTCCAAAGTCTGAGCCAATCTCTGCCCAGGGGATGGGCAGACACCCCCACATACAGAAAACAAATGAACAACCCCAAAGAATATCCCTCAGACACCTTGTCTTAAGACAGTCCCCCCTACCCTATCCTTTGTATCCTGGTACCTAAGAATCCTCAGATTCACCTTTCATTGCCTCCACTCTCTCATGGGACAAACGTTTCTGTAATGAAACATTTCATCAAGGATGCATAAACATCGTTGATGAGTGAAAATTTAACTGTTAGTTCAATCCCCATAGGAAGAGGACCA